AAACATCCACTTCTCTTTGGAGTGCAAACAGCTGAGATGTACACTAGGCACCACAATAGCTTGAGATGTACCAAGTTTTCCCTCTGTGGTTTGGCACTTCACTAACTGCTGGACTTGTTCATCTTCTGTGTTACGGCTACTAGCAGTTAGAGAATTTGCACCAGAGTGGTAAACAGATTCAATTTACTCAAGAAATCACAATAGCCGTATCTTACACCTATCCAGGATATGCTATTAAAACCAGATTAGGGAACAAGCTGGGTGGGAGGTACCATCTATTTGACCTACTAAAAATGAGTAGTAAAGAAAAATAAATATCATGAGAAAACCAGCAATTCTGGAGAAAGCCAGAATACAATCTTATGTGTGAAAGTAGGGGAAGACTCAAACCAAGGAAGCAATCTGGACAAAAGCTGTGACATTACCACCATTTTTTTTTCTCTAATGAAAGTGGTTGATTTGTGTTGAATGTGTGCATGATATTGCCTCTGCAAGAACCGAACTGACACAACATTACTGGGAACTTAGAGGATATTTCAGTTCTAAGCAGTGAAGCCTAGCTGAGAGGTATTCATTCAGCTACCTGCACTACGACAATTTGGTGCACATACCTGCTTCGATGCATAGAAATTTTGCATGTTATCAAGGAGGCAATTCAGTTTCAAGTACTTCCGAATTGAAGAAGCTACCAGTGTAACTGTATTTTTCTAAAATACCCTTTTTTGGTGCCCCAATATTTCCTATGCCACATTTTAAATTTCAAAGTATAAAGAAGGAGATAGATAGTCCTGGAATCAATGGTAGAAGATAGAAAATCCCTAAATATCCACACAGCCATTATCCATTTTAGCTGCTAAGGCAGTCAGAAGCTTGTACGAACCTTCTGATGAGGAAAGGGTCCAGGTCACTTGTGAGATAGACAGATCGTGTCTGAGTAGGGGTCTAGATCATTTACACAAGACAGTCTGTTGTGAGGGATCCTTTGTCAATTGTGAAGGTGGAAAACAATACATAAGAAGTCCTTATCAGTTCTGGTGTGGGGTTGGGGTGGGGGATGGAGACAGGAAGGTATTTAGACCACAAGTTTTTCCTGTAGTATAAAGATATTTTTTTTTCTTGTCCTACCATGATTTTAGTTTTCTGTCTTATATTTTCTGACTGTCAAGAATAAGGAGAATAGAAACAGCAGTCTTTGTTACATCTGTGAAATGTATTATTGGATAAAAAGTTTGTAGATAGAAGGGATTTTAGTGTGAGGATTGCTGAAATACCTTTCTGTGTAAATGTGAATTGTTGTGAGAAAGGAACCTTTGTTATCCTGTAACTTAGAGTGAGCTGCCACTGAGAGACACATGAAAAATTATTCAGACTTCATAACTTATTAAACCAAAATACTTTTGTTGCTCCTTGATTTTTAGAGCAGCTAATTCTGTAAAAGTTACAGGTAGTTATGTTCCCAGAATAATAAAAGTACCCAGAATGCACAGCCATAAAACATCACTGTCTTCTTGTCAGGGATAAAACAAGGTAAGGGTCAGACAAAAGTCAAACCAAGTGTGTGGCATCCTGTTTGCTAGACTTCTGCTTCATCAGGCTGCAAGAAAGGGGATCCCAAAGATCCCAAGGATTAGATGCAGGGGATGTTCCCATCCTATGAACAGACTCTCAGCCTGCAAATGACCATTTCAAAAGAAACAGAGCCTGTTGAGACAGGACAAGGGATAATGGTTTTAAACTGAAAGAGAGTAGACTCAGACTAGATATAAGGAAAAAAAAATTATGATGATGGTGGGTAAAACTGGAACAGGTTTACCAGAGAGGTGGTAGAAGCCCCATCCCTGGAAACATTCAAGGCCAGGTTGGACAAGGCTCTGAGCAACCTGATCTAGCTGAAGATGTCCCTGCTCATTGCATGGGGCTTGGAATAGATGCCCTTTAAAGGTTCCTTCCAACCCAAACTATTCTATGATTTAATAGGAAAAGGAATCAGACCCAGGCTGACATTGACGACTAGTCTCCAGATGAGTAGGCAATTGCATTTGCATATGGAGTCAGACAGATGTACACACCACACACAACGTGTACATGTAAGTATGCGTTCAAAGCCTTCCTCTCAAGGTCTAGCAAGTTTCTTGAAGCCTTTATTTCTCATTAGCTTCATTAAAGAGTAAGTAGTAAGGGTGATCTATGCAAATCAGGATCCCTGAGGCTGAAACTCTCTAAAGAATCTATGCACTATTTGAAAACTGTTCCGTCAGAAAATTCCCAACTCACTCTGTTTTTAATGTTTCAGTAATTATAGTGACTGGTTCAAAGACACAGCAATCATTAGAAATAAATCCCACTGCATATGAATTGTAATCTGCAATGTGAAACTATCTGTGATTCAGATTTTCTAAAATAGGCTGTTGTACTGCTCATTCCAATTAAATCCACAGAAAATACATTAGATATAATGATATAGCTCATGCAAAATACCTGCACTAAGTGCATCAAAATCTATGGGCTCTTAATTATTTCAGTGAATGCACAATCAGATTTAGAGTTGATTTACTTACGAAGCTTACTTGAATGCAAACCTTCAGGCAGCCTTTGTTTTTCTTTAGTATTTGTAAGAGCTTGGCACTGTGGGACTTCTTATGACAAAAAAGGTCATTGAGATCTACTGTAATGCATGTATTTGTTGCTAATAGGACTGGTACTATTATATGAATGTATGTATTTTATTCTATAACATCCAGAGTTTCTTTATCCTATTTTATTGTCTAAATCTACTGAACCATGAGAGAAAGATGAGCCTTATAACTTGGGTACTTGACAAGGACTTAAAAAATACATTTTTAAATGCCAGACATTGTTACAGATTCTACAGATGAGGCTCAGGTAGCCATTTAACTGCCAAGATTTGGATTTTAAAAAATGGTAAGGCTTTGAAAAAAAATTTTGTGTTTAATGGAATTTTCATACAAAATACAGTTTGCTAAAGGTATTACTTACATTGATTTCAGTTTTGGAAATATCATTAGGAAATTTATGCTTCTTTAGGAACCAAAATACTTTTGCTTTTGGACACCACTTAATACAACATTTAACCCTAAAAGCCACTGATGTACCAGTTTAAGTGGAGACCAGCCAATGTTGTTCAGAGAGAGATGAATATGTCATCAGTGCTGTTTGCATGTGAACGTGCAGCTGCACAGAGGTCCTTCCACAGAAGTCTGAAAAAAACCTACCTATTAATGTGACCGTGTGAGGTTTTCATCAGAAGTGTTAATGCACAATGTAGGTCAAGCTCTGCTTTCAGGCATACCACTGTCATTTAGGAGACTGAAAGGAATGGAGTTATATCACTGGTGTGAGAAAAGACTGTGTTGTATATATTTCCTGATGTATTGTCTTGATATACTATTGAATTGAGGGAAGGTGTTTCTCCTACAACTTTCTTCAGCACAATAGGAAGACAATCCTGATTGTCTTTTCAGTTTGGTGCTGTCACTGAAAGCAGGTTCAGCTTACAAATTTTGAGGCATTGCCAGTCTTTTCTTAAGCGTCCATTGGGCTATCCCTCATTTTATGGTAATATTTGGCAGTTTTCTGTACAACTATACAGACACTTTGCAAGGTGGCTCAGAGCAAGAGTCCATGCTTCCAAAATATATTTGTCACATTTCTCACCTAACATTGCTTTAAGCGAGGGAACAGTTTATTTGTGATCTCTAAGGAGAAAGCATCTAATGGAAAAACTTTGTAAGCTGAAAGACATTAAAAAATGTTCAACTATAATAGTGACTGCAGACTAGTTTATTGTATCTACTCTTCTGCCAAGGGCCAAGTTACCCAAGGGCACTTAATAAAAACAGATGATCTGAAACTGACATTGCAGACAGACTTACTACCTCATCTCCAGGTTAACGCGATAGTATTGGTCAGTGTTTAAAATCATGCCTAACACCATCAGTGAATCCTCTGCCAAGGCAATGAGCAGATTTCACTTCACTATCCTTTTCAGAATAACACACAGAACTGTAAAGTAAAATTGTTGTCTCATGAGAGGGCTAATAAATATAGTTACCTAAGAAAAAATAAATGTTGAGCAGAACTACAATCAGTATTTCTAACATACTATCTGAATGCTTCTCCAAACAGAAGCTTCTCTCTACTGTTCTTATGGAATGTTCATTGTCATTTTCTTTTATAGAACTATGGAAGACCAGAGTTGCTTTCTTCTTGTAGGTGATAATAAACAATAGACAGACTGACTCAGAAATGTCAGATTTTTCCTTCATATCTATAAAGGACTGAGGTCCTTTGTGATCTGATTTCACGGTTCCGCAAAATTCTAATTTGTTAGTTAGGACTATGACATATTAATATGTTCATTGTGTGCCAACAATGCATTGTGACTAGAATTCAACAGTAAGGTGGAAATGTTAAAAACAAACAAACAAAAAACCCCTAACAAACTCAAGAATATTCAAGCTCCACTACAGAGTAACTATTTTTTTTTTTTTCAAGCTTGAAACTCAAAGAGCATATCAAAGATTTCATTAGATTCTGCATTATGCCTGCTACTGGTTGAGCCATGCTGCACACACTACTGAATCACCACGTGGCATATTATTATAGAGGCTTCTGTGTATTAAAGCAAATGATACAAGGCTAAGGCTATTGTCACTCCTCTTTTCCTGTACAGACATATTTGTTTCTTTTCTGAAAATGTGGTTGATACAGCATCTTGATTACTTTTATGACAGTGAAGTTTAATAAACATTATTTTTTTTCCACCAGCTACTTTTAAGGCTAAAAAAGCAACATGAACTAGCCATACTTGACTATAATTCAAGAAAATCAAAGTGAAGGATCCTTCTGATGTATGTACAGAAAAGAGTGTTATTTGTTGACTTCCCACCTAGTATTTTTAAATTAATTACTTTATTTTCCTTCTTCTGTTAAATCAATATAACAATGATTTTTATGTTGTTGTTTCTTTCCTTCCCCAGATGTACATCCAGACAACAACACTTACTATCTCCATGAGTTTAAGTGCTTCTGTGTCTCTGGGCATGCTCTACATGCCCAAGGTTTATATTATCATTTTTCATCCAGAGCAGAATGTTCAAAAACGGAAGCGGAGCTTCAAGGCTGTAGTGACAGCCGCCACAATGCAAAGCAAACTGACCCAAAAAGGAAATGACAGACCAAATGGCGAGGTCAAAACTGAACTGTGTGAAAGTCTTGAAACCAACAGTAAGTCATCTGTAGACTTTCCCATGGTCAAGAGTGGCAGCACTTCCTAATAGATGTACGTTCACAAGAATGCACTTTCTTTTAATAATAAACTTCATTAACTATATTCCTTTTGTTGCTTGTTCTGCATGAATCCAGATTCTTAAAGGTATTTGAAATCAAGGGGAGTTGTTTTCCTGTAAAGGAAGAGATAATGAGGGGAAGGGGAGAAAAAAAAAAAAAAAAAAAAAAAAAAAAAAAAAAAAAAAAAAAAAAGAAAGCACAACCACATTTTGGAAAGCCACATTTTTTAAATTATCTAGTTTAGCTAATGCTGATTTGATGTGTTGTGCATTGCTGTGCCAGTTGTGGTATGTGCTGACAGTTCATGAAGTATATTTATGGTTCTCATTGTATATTCAAAACTCAAAGGCTGTTGAAAAAAATATAATGAAAACAGTTAACATTGTTTTTATTTTGCAGTTAGATATAGAAGTGAAAATAATGCTTTTTACCTTTCCACCCTAACTTAGCATTTGTTGACTTGTTTGTTATCACAACTCACGAATAATGCTTCCCATCCAGGTTTTTGTTGTGGTCTTACTCATCTTGGTACAAAATAGTGATAATTCACATATGGTTTAATCATTACAT